CACCTAGCGTCTGGCATCCAAGAAGCCCGAATCAATCATTTGTCCCCCCCCGTCAATGCCCATAGTTTCCCCCCTTTTCTCTTGAGGGAACCCCGATTTTTTTTTGGGGGGGGGGAGCTCGGGAGGTTCCCGACTTCGCGCCTTCCATTTTTCCGGCCGGCTGCCCGTTTTTCCCACACGCCGAACCGAAGGCTCCGCCCTCCAGCGTGGCCAACATCACGGCGGTGCGGCCGCCGTGGTCCGCGATCTGCAGCTGCGCCCTCGCCTTCAGAAGCCTCGAAGGAGCGGCGGAGGCGAGAGGCGGAGGAGGCGAAGGCGAGAGGCGATGGCTCGAGGCGATGTCACCTCAAAATGGACTGGGGGAACAAAGGAGTCGGGGCCCGACTGCAACACCGACTCACTGCTCGGACGTCCAAAAACGTGGGTCGCCACTCAATCGTGGAGTACCGCTTTCAGCTTTCTTTGGAGCCCAAAAGGCGTTGGGGGTCCAAGTCCCTATCACGCCCTCAACTCCGAAGACTATCAAAGCGCGAGAAATTGCGATGCTTTGAGGCTGGACTCGCCAGCTCGAATTGGACAGATTTCCATAGGAAGCCTATGACTTGGGCTTTTTTCCGATCGAACTCTTGCGGGTCAAGGGAATTCAGGATTAACACTTGCTTGAGTTTGACGGGTGTCCCATTGAACCGGCATACCGGATCACTCTTGAGGGCAACACAACCCTAACGCACAAGGTGGATTCTTGCGCGGTTGACATTGCTCAATTCTAGTCAACCTGCACAGGTACAAAATGTGGCTCACTGGCTCACTACTTGCTCTCATGAACAAGGCTCTCTATGAACGAGTAACTCTCCTATCTGACACAGGACCTGACTTGTCGCGATTGGCGGTCACTCACGTGCCGCGGCAATCTTGCTGGTGCTCAGGTAGGGCTTTCCTGAAACGATTCTTCCCTGCCCCTCTTGATTCCCTCTGAAGCAAGTCATTCTTCCAGGGGTACCTTCCCCATTCTTTCCAGGGATCCTTCTTTCTAGAAAATCTCCGGAAACCCAGGGAAAGCGGCTGTTTGTTTTGAAAAGAACGATGGTTGAAAAGAATGGGGGATCAACCTCTAGAATTCTCGCCTTGCCGCGGCACATGTCCACCTGCCCCATACGGTTGTTGCGACAAGCATAGAGCAGCGCAGACCAGCCCAGCACATCCTGGTCGACCCCCCGCCATGGCTAGCCCAATGCACTCAGCCGATGCTGAAGCCACGTTTTGTCAAACCACTGAGTTCAAACAACGACAACTGCCCAAATCTGCATCTTGAGATCAAACCAACCCACATCATTCTCACTCACCTGCTGAGAAATCATGCTATACTTGAGATCAAAAGCGTTGAATTAACCTTGCGTGTCGTTGAACATGATGAGTTGGCAAGTGTGTCGAGCGTGATCCATCTTTAGAAGTGCGTTTCGGCAAATGCTTTGTGACACATTGCATCAAACATAGACCTGAACATATTTTATATACATGTGGAGAAATGTCAAAATCACAAACAACACCCAGGATTTGTCACAATCAGGGATCGAAAGATAGAAGTCCATGCTTGTTCTGGAAGGATACCTTTCAAGGTATACTGAGGTGGAATCGTGGACTCATGACGAGGCAACATGCTCTGAGCACCCCGTCCTTCGCTTCTAATTCAGCTGCAGCATCCAGCAGCAATTGCATGCATTCGTTGGCACCTCAATCGCTGCCATTGGCTGACATGGATGGGTTGCTTGGAACATGCAAGTCCAGTTTGGAACACGCCTCCATACGCCTCTGCCGCTTTCCTCTTTCAAGGGCAAGGCCAAAAGCAACCCTAGAAAATTCGCAAGCCTTTTGATTGGTCGACAGATATAGAACCTGGGAAAACATATGTGCCATGGTCAAAACACTTCATATGGCCTGCGGTCATGGTTCCCTTAAAAGGTGTATGACGATCCCCATTAACCCCAAGTAGGAACTGGTCGCCTGACCATGGCACATGTGGGAGTTGATCAAAAGGTCCGTGATACATGGGATGACCATTGGTTGGAAAGCCACTAAAAAGATTTGCTATTCCAACCAAACCACATGGGAAAGGTTACCCATGGTCAAAACTGGGGGCCGAACGGAATATTGATCAACCCCCATTCCTCCTGGAAAAATGAGAACATATTTCTATCAGTGAAAGATAAGAACAAAAACATCTCAGCAAATGGAAGTTGACCCTGGCACCATTTAAACGACCCCCCATTTGATGTACAGAGTTGAACAGGCGGAGGTCCGTACCCATTTCTGGCTGGGATTGTCCCGTACCCTCCAATGACCCAGGCTTTGATCGTGACTCATTATATATATATATATATATTGTAATTTGTGTTGTATATTTTTTCAGAGTCTATCTGAAGAACATACAACCACAGTACTTAAAAAGCTAGATATGGCTTTGAATCTTCATGGGGAACCCCTTGAAGAGTGGTTGGTGGGCATAAACAAATCCCACCGAATTTGACGTCCACCAAAGCGTCCCGAGTCAAGATGTCACATCCATATATTTCAGGATATGGATGTTGATCAATATTCCTGGGCCCCAAATGATCATCGGTAACTTTTCCCATTTAGTGGGAAATAATTATTTATCATCTAGTGGTTTCCAACCACTGGTCATCCCATGTATCACGGACCTTTTGATCAAGCGGGTCCAATGCCCTCTCAGATGCCCAGTGGCCATGAGAAAAAAATAGGTGGCCATGGGCCATGGGGAGTCTGTTTATTTATTATGTTCGCAGACTCAATTCGAAGAACATGGAGGATATGAAGACCCCACTCTGAGACTCGGCTTACCCCGCGGGGCGCCCCTCACGGCCCACAAGGCCGCCCCGCCCATGGCCTGGCGTGCGCGCGGCGGCCGCCAGCATCAGCGGGCTCTGCCGCCGCTGCGTGGTGCTGTTCACCGCGGCGCCCTTGGCCAAGACGTCCAACATGGCCTCGGCCACCCGTGGCATTCAAACCATTTGTTAAATTCGGAGGCTTTGGTTACAGGGAAAACTACGGGAAATGGCCTCAAAACACCCTACATGAGCTGCTTTCCTGTAGAATGTCCTGTAACCCAACCCTTTGATACGGGAAAATATATGTATGAAATCCGAACACCGGCCTGCTGCACTGCTCTGACAGGACTGAAGGCAAGTCGCGCTATATGTATGACATGGCGTGTTTACATGACTTCTACATAAACATATATATATATATATGTGGAAAAAGAGTTGTTAAACATTTGTTACATTGTTCATGCGTGAAATCACTTGCCTTGTGCAATTTGCAAGGTATGTTACACTTGAATTTTCGTGCAACAATTTGTTGAGCCTGTGGGCAAAGATGGTTCTAAAACCATGTGGGGTTTGGATGGTTTTAGAGGGCATTTGGCTGGCTCTAAAGGGAAAACACAGGACAACCAAATGCAATTTGTTGGTCCCCTAAAAAAGCAACACACACACACACGCACCCAGGGACCTCAAACTAGAGGACGACTGGCCCGAAAGCATTTTTCCCCAAGCGCTTCCCATCATGTGCTTTTGGCCCTATGTAACTTGGCTTTTAGTAACTTGGCTCTATGTAACTTGGCTCTATGTAACTTGGCTCTATGTCACTTGGCTCTATGGTAACTTGGCTCTATGTAACTTGGCTCTATGGTAAATCGGCTCTATGGTAACTCGGCTCCATGTCACTTGGCTCTATGTAACTTGGCCCTGTGCAAGTTGGCTCTGTGCAGCTTGGCTCTGTGCAACTTGGCTCTGTGCGACTTGGCTCTGTGCAACTTGGCTCTGTGCAACTTGGCTCTGTGCAACTTGGCTCTGTGTAACTTGGCTCTTTGCAAGTTGGCTCTGTGCAACTTGGCTCTGTGCAACTTGGCTCTATGTATCTTGGCTCTATGTAACTTGGCTCTATGGTAAATTGGCTCTATGTAACTTGGCTCTATGTCACTTGGCTCTATGTAACTTGCCCTATGTAACTTGGCTCTATGTAACTTGGCTCTGTGCAACTTGGCTCTGTGCAACTTGGCTCTGTGCAACTTGGCTCTGTGGCTCTTTGTAACTTGGCTCTATGTACTTGGCTCACTCAACTTGGCTCTATGTATCTTGGCTCTAATAACTTGCTCTAATTGGATAAGGGGAAGGCTCTATTGAGTAACTTGGCTCTATGTAACTTGGCTCTATGTAACTTGGCTCTTGTAGACTCGGCTCTATGTGCTCTACTTGGCTCTATGTAACTTGGCTCTATGTAACTTGGCTCTATGTAATTGGCTCTACTTGGCTCTATGTAACTTGGCTCTATGTACTCCTGTGCAACTTGGCTCTGTGCAACTTGGCTCTGTGCAACTTGGCTCTGTGCAACTTGGCTACTGCTGCTTCTGCTTAGCAAGTTGCGCTGCATGATTTCTCACGAAAGTGGTCTGCGCAAGCTGCATGTTCCAGGCTGCTTTCGGGCAAGTTGCTCTCTGCACGCTGCTGCACGCAAGTGCTCTGTGCAGGTTGCTCTGCGCAAGTGCTCTGAGCAAGTTGCTCTGCGCAAGTGCTCTGCGCCAGTTGCTCCGTGCGAGCGCTTTGCGCATGTGCTCTGTGCAAGTTGGTCTGTGCAAGGTGCTCTGCGCAAGTGCTTTGTGCAAGTGCTCTGTGCAATTCGCTGAGCGCAAGTTGCCCTGTGCAAGTGACTCTGCGCAAGTTGCTCTGCGCAAGTGCTGCCGGAGCTGCGGGGGTGTGCTCCGCGTACTACGTTTGTACTTAAAAGTTGCGATTGTCCAGCCGGAGCCGCGGGAATGTGCTCCGCGTACTACGTCTGTACTTAAAAATTGCGATTTTCCAACCGGAGCTGCAGGAGCACGCTCCGCGTACTACGTTTGTACTTAAAAGCTGCGATTTTCAAGCCGGAGCTGCGGGGGTGTGCTCCGCGTACTACGTTTGTGCTTAAAAGTTGCGATTTTCCAGCCTGAGCTGCGGGAGCACGCTCCGCACACTACGTCTGTACTTAAAAGTTACGATTTTCCAGCCGGAGCTGCAGGAGCACGCTCCGCGTACTACGTTTGTACTTAAAAGCTGCGATTTTCAAGCCGGAGCTGCCGCGGACCAGGGGGGAATCGAACCCGCGACCGCGGGATTGCGAAAGCAGGCGCGCAAACCACGAGACAACTTCCAAAGGCCGTTTCGCGAGCAAGAATATTGCACGGCGCCACAGCGAGAGCGCTTCGACACGCACAATCTCCGCAGAGGGTTCGCCGAGACTAAACAAATTCGCACGGCGCCACAGCGAGAGCGCTTCGACGCGCACGATCTCCGCAGAGGGTCGCGCGCGGCGCAGACATCGTAAAAAGTCCTCAGTTTTTGAACCTCGACCACGCGAATCTCCGCAGAGGTCCGCGCGCATGCTAAAAATCGTAAAAAGTCTTCAGTTTTTGAGCCTCGACCACGCGAATCTCCGCAGAGGGTCGCGCGCGCACCGCAGAAATCGTAAAAAGTCCGCAGTTTTTGAACCTCGACCACGCGAATCTCCGCAGAGGGTCGCGCGGGCAGCAAAAATCGTAAAAAGTCCGCAGTTTTTGAACCTCGACCACACGAATCTCCGCAGAGGGTCGCGCGGGCATGCTAAAAATCATAAAAAGTCTTCAGTTTTTGACCTCGACCACGCGAATCTCCGCAGAGGGTTGCGCGCCATGCTAAAAATCGTAAAAAGTCCTCAGTTTTTGAACCTCGACCACGCGAATCTCCGCAGAGGGTCGCAATCCCGAGCGATGATCAAACTCCCCCCCGGCGCCTTAGAAACCTAAACTAACTTACATAGCTGCTAACGGCGAAGCTCTAAGCTCTCTACCTAACCTTGGCTCTATGTAACTTGGCCTATGTAACTTGGCTCTATGTAACTTGGCTCTATGTAACTTGGCTCTATGTAACTTGGCTCTATGTAACATAACTTGGCTCTATGTAACTTGGCTCTATGTAACTTGGCTCTATGTAACTTGGCTCTATGTAACTTGGCTCTATGTAACTTGGCTCTATGTAACTTGGCTCTATGTAACTTGGCTCTATGTAACTTGGCTCTATGTAACTTGGCTCGATGTAACTTGGCTCTATGTAACTTGGCTCTATGTAACTTGGCTCTATGTAACTTGGCTCTATGTAACTTGGCTCTATGTAACTTGGCTCTACTTGGCTCTAACTTGGCTCTAACTTGGCTCTATGTAACTTGGCTCTATGTAACTTGGCTCTATGTAACTTGGCTCTATGTAACTTGGCTCTATGTACTTGGCTCTATGTAACTTGGCTCTATGTAACTTGGCTCTATGTAACTTGGCTCTATGTAACTTGGCTCTATGTAACTTGGCTCTATGTAACTTGGCTCTATGTAACTTGGCTCTATGTAACTTGGCTCTATGTAACTTGGCTCTATGTAACTTGGCTCTATGTAACTTGGCTCTATGTAACTTGGCTCTATGTAACTTGGCTCTATGTAACTTGGCTCTATGTAACTTGGCTCTATGTAACTTGGCTCTATGTAACTTGGCTCTATGTAACTTGGCTCTATGTAACTTGGCTCTATGTGACTTGGCTCTATGTAACTTGTCCAAGGGCTCCGCACGGAAGAACCCTTCGCGATGCTTTCGGGAACAAATCCATTTTGGGTCCCGGACCCCAGGGCATTTGGAGATTGCCAGGATCCAACTCTTAAACTTCGAAGATCGAAGCCTCATGTTGGGTGGCTTGGTGACTTTTGAGATGGACTTGCTTTTCTTGGAAAGGAAACGTACTCCTCTCTTGTTCGTCCGATTGCTTGATTTAATGTTCCAATCGCCCTTATCAGTTCACCCTCAGTCGTGCCAATTGTTCTTTTGTCACACGGAAATCCTCATTGAATACAAAAAGCATTAGCCCCTAATTCATTCATCTGCTCATAAGCCTAGAGTGCAAACATACTTTGTTGAGCACAATATGTTGGCGTTGTTTAGACCTTATAGTTGATGGATGACATGCTGAACCAACATACATATACATACATATATATATATATCGTTATCTTGAGTGTTGGAAAAATGGGTATGTTGTTTGGTGCTATTTTATTTTCTACTTATGTCTGTAACTATCTATGACCTAAACAATTGTATGGTCATATAATGTCCTCCTTGTTTCATCGCAAAACGAACGGAGCGTGCTGCCAAGAGGTTCAAATTATGGTCGTTTGTTGTAATATAGCTGACCTATCAAACATTGAGATGGGGTCAAATGCACTCCTAAATCTTGTGTCATGTCCATAAGTTGTTTCGAATTAAATCCAGGAGCCCCATAAGTTGTAGTGCTAAAGCTACCTTTGTAGCTTTTTAATACTAGGGGGGTAATGCGGGATCTCAACATAGGGGAAGCCCCAAACTGGTGGGTTTCTTGTAGGTGTCCCTTTGAATGCCCACCGAAAGGGGGTCCACGATATTGAGAAACTCACAAAGCGGAAATAATTACCAAGGTGTCTTGGGGAGGGACATTGTGTGAACCCGGTATGAGCTTCAACTCTGCGGCATCTACGTGTGCCTTTTGTCGTCCGCCAAAAAATGTGGGGCTTTCCCTTTTCCCAGCAGCTGGAGCAAAAAAACAACACCCAAAGGTGTCCTTGTTGCTTTCCGCTTTTGGCCTTCAAAAATGGGGGGAACGTGCCCTGGCCGAAACATCATGCAATGGGATCATGAGTCCTTCTAATTTCAGCCGAGGAAACAACAACTTTGGAATTGGTTGATTGCAAAGGAAATCAGAGGAAAGCCGTCGAGACATATCTATAATATATATATATATAATATATATATATACATGACAAATAATAAACATGTATGTATGCATATCTACAAAGAAATGCATGATATATAACATATTATGTACGTACGTACTGGGGGGAAGGGGTCCCCATTTTGAGAGCCCAAATCACTGGGGCCTCCCAAACCCGAACCCAAAGG